TTTTTTTTTTTTTTTTTTTTTTTTTTTTTTTTTTTTTTTTTTTTTTTCTGGCGATCCCCATTTTCATTTTAGATCCGCCGTTGCGTCATCCCCAAGGAGAAAAAAGAGAAACACCGGCCGTTCTGCCTATGCGCTTTTTTTTCTTGCTCTTCTTTGTCCTCGCCCACTTAACTTTACGTTAGAGAGGTAGAAGTGGGATGAACTTTTCTCCGCAATAACGTTGTACATTTGTTCGTTGGCCTGATTTACCTGCCCTGTTCATATCATTTTTCGCCACGTTTTATACGCCGCATTTTATACCACTGTTTACGCAACATTTCCATCACTTCTGAAAGACCTGTGGGATTGCCGAATTTGATCTCGTGGGGTGCGTCAGTGGGATCAAACGAAATCACCTCTTTTGTAGGGAGCCGACTGGACGGCACACCGAGCCATAGCAGGTGTATAGAACTCGTGGCGAGCAAATGGCGGGATCCGTTTGGAACAGAAATAGCTGGCACTGGTAATGTGAAGGTGGAAAAAAAATACATGCGTACACGTGCACATATATATATATGTGCATGCAGATTATGTCTCATTGATAATGCAAACCTGCCATCCCATTTGCAACGCACTTGAGCTGGGCCTGCTCTATCCAGTGCTTGCTTTCATCATCCCGTCCGCCACCCCCTTGCAGGGAAGAGAAGAACTACAACAAATGGGGAGAGTCGTACATAAAAAATAAACTGTCCGATTTGAAAATCGAAAAGGAAGACTTTTCCGTCTACATTGACAGGGTGGACATTTCAGGAAATGTAACAACTGGAGGGGACATTGAGTTTCCCCCCGTTCGAACATGCATATAGGGGGGTCGGTCCCCTAGTGAGAGTCTTCTCCTTCGTGTTATGCGATGTCTGCATGGTTATGGCTCGTGTTGGGAACCCTTCTTTTTTGCCACCACCACGTCCCCCTTTTACAGCCTCACCACTTCACTCCATCACAACACCATCATGTCACCTCTACAACCGTGTAGGCCTCCGTGTCCATCCGGAAGGGAAAACAAATAAACTCCTTCGAGTACGTAATCAAATTCGACTGGGTCTTCTGCAAAACGGGGCAAAATGACGAATACCCTGGAGGGACTGCAGAGATATTGGACTTTTCAAATTGTTCCGTTGAGGTATCCACATGAGAAAGACCAGCAAGTGGTGCATTTCCAGCGGGGGGAGAACTCAAAACGACAAAAGAGTGGCGTAGAGAAGTGAACTGCTTCTCCCACCCAATTTACATCACCCTAACAGGAAGCAATATAATGAAGAAGCAAAATGATGCCATGGAGATTTACGTTTTTTTTTTTTTTTTTTTTTTTTCCCCACCACGTATTGTTGTTCCTTTTCCCCCTCTTCAGGACAACGACTACGCCATAAACATAGAGCTGATTGGAGACAAGGAGGAGTCTAAGCGGGCATACGATATTTTGAGGAAGGACGGAAAGGAGAAAATAAAAAATGCCTTGAAGAATTTCCCACAGGATCTACTGAAGCACGACTCAAACGAATGTAATTTTGGGCGCTCGGAGGAAGATGTGGTGGAAGTGACGCGCGGTGTGAACACGTGCCGGGCGTATGACCATGCTGGCTACACACACATACACACATATACATGAGATACTTGACTTTTTTTTCCCCCCACGGCGCAGCAAGCAAGGAACAGAAGATCCTGGCGGAGGAAGAGGAAAAACTGCAAAAGGCAAATGTGCAAAACGTGCACCAGAACCAACCGCAGGGCACAGCTGCGAACAATGCGAACATTGCGAACAGTGCAAACCACGTAAAGGAAAACAAAGAGGAGGAAAAAAAAGAAGGGTCCATTTGGAACATCAACAACTACCACTGGGAAGAGAAATGCCTAACCAAGTGGGCTCAGGAGGAATTAAAAAATATGCTGGACAGCTCCACAGTACAACTGAGCAATAACATTTTTTTGCAACTGTTCAGTTCCGAAGTGGATGGTGAAGCTTCTTCCAGCTTGCGAAAAAAAAAAAAAATAATAATTTACGACTTAAAAATTAATTGCGAATGGAAAGCCTTTAAAAAGAACAAAAATGGTCAAATCGAAATGGAAATCACGGGGCATGTCATTGTGAATGATATCATTTCGGACTTCTCCTCTCACGACGAAAGCAAGTACACATATCAGTTCGTCTTTGACAGTACCCATCCAGAGGGGGCGGCCATGAACGAGATCATAAAGACCGAGGGACCCGCGCAGATCGAGAAGATAATAGAAGCCTTTATTTCGAAGATGATGGAGAAGTAGTTCACACGGGGAGGTTATATGCCTACTCAGAGCAAAACGCGCCCCTAAATACATTTTTCCTTACACATGTGTGCGAAATGGTTCCTTCCGTGCTGCTCTTTTATAACCCTTTTAATTTTTTGCTTAAGGTTTTTTTTTTTTTGCGCACTGGTACCGCTACGTACAATATTGTGCACACAATGATGCTCGCGTTAGATACGTTTACATATACACACTACAACTTTGGTGCCCATCTAGCAAAAAATTTTGACACATTCGTACAACAGCAACTCTGCATGGTCTACACAAAATGCGCAAATTAATTCCGCCTTTTTTTTTCAATCAAGCTAAGGCGAAAACGATGCTGTAGCATAACAGCACGAGCTAGGGGTCACCCTAACAGCGGATGTCCTTCATCCCAGGTTTTTGCTTTTACGTCGATTTAACTGAGAAGGCCTAGTTGCTTCAGGCGCTCTTGGAGTTTTCCCTCTTCGTTCTCCTTCACCTGTGCGGTTAAAAGGGGGTATGCATTTGTTAGCAGCTAGCTATTTTGTTCAGTTCAGATAATCACATATTTTTTTTTTTTTTTTTTGCACACTTGTTCATATTTTTTTTCTCACTTTTTTGCACATTTGTCCACACCACGCGGTGCTTTTGTCATCCCGCCGCTCTGTCTTACCAAGTCGTCACATCCGCCGACAATCTCCTTATTGATGAATATGCGTGGCACGGAGCTCTTTCCTAAAAAAGAGAAATATTACGAGTCAAATGAAGTGTTAAGTCACGAGCTAGCTTTTTCTAGTGCCGCTCCTCACGATGGGCAAAATGCTCCCTACGCCGCAAAGTCTTCCTTTCCTACCTGTTAGGTCTTTTAAGTAGGCTTGGATGTCCGCCATGTTGGGGTTCTTCTCGATTTGTTCTACATGCTACATGAGGGGAAGAGAAGGTAAAAAAAAATTGTCTAACTTTTCAATTCCTACGTGCACATTGTACTGATGCGTCCATGTGATCATACAAGATGATGCTCACGTGTGTGAGTGGTGTTGGCCCACTTTGGAAATTGCTTACCATATTGCTCACGTTATATCCTTTCAAAATGGAGATGGCCTTCATGCAGTACGGGCATTCCCTATGGGAAGAAAAAAAAGGCAACAAGACGGTTGGACATGTGAGGAAATGCTCGATGCAACCTTTTCAATTTTTCCCTCTTATTTTTATTTGTTCTCATTGTAAAACACATAATGTTACGAAGACTATTTCCATGCTTACGTTTTCGAAAACACCGCAATGACATTTTCGTCTATAATTTTCTGCACAAATTTTTTGACTGCTTCGTTGTTGCACGCCATTTTTTCGAGAGGGGGGGATTTGCGCTGTAGCTGATTGTAAGATCGTGGGGGGGGTGCTTGTTATATGTCTGCACGCTTGTGCTGTTACGGCGAGAAAATTTCAAAGTACGGTATGCTTTCAAAATTTGTACTTTGCCGTTATGCCTGCGCTATTACGACGCTATTTGCTGAAATGCGGGACAATGGGCTATGCAAATAATTTGCTACTACAACTGCAGAGCTTTAAGGAACACGTATAGGAACAGCGAAATTTGTATGTTTTTAATAAAAGGGAGATGATATTATTCGTTCCTTCTTAACGTTTTGTGCTAACGAAATCAGCAATAATGATGATACGTATTCAGCATATTTTTTGAAAGTCCAATGCGTGATTATTCCTAACGTTTTTAGTGACGGGAAAAGGATTGTAATGTAAGAGCAACGCTAAAGGTTCCAAATTCAAAATTGCGTAAACCTAATTGTGCAGTAAAATCCTACATATGCTTGGAGTTCATCAGTTAAAAAAAAAATTGGGTGCATATATAAAGCGTTTTTTTTTTTTTGCTTCATTCATTATTTGATTACTTTAGGGCAATACAAAATGTCAGAGGGGCACCACCAGAAGAAAGTTACCTCGTACTCTCTGTCGCTATTACTATGGCTATCGGTGTCGGTGTCCCTGACGTTTGGCCACCTTGCCGGCCTTAGCCATATGCCGTTTTACGCATTTGCCGCTTCACTATTCACCGTTATGTTCCTATTTGTGCCGTGCCCTTATTAGGCTCCATTTTCGTAGCCCCTTTTTTTTTTTTTTTTTTTTTTTTTTCTTTCGTTTTCCTCATTTGCTCAACAATGTACATACAACAGGGCTGCCCAATTTTTTGTAAAACCTTTTTTATTAAAACTATCCCTGATAAAAACGCAAACGTGTGTGTTGCGTTATGCGTAGTTACAACCTCCTCATATGGGGTTTAACAAAAAAACAGTTAATTTTTTTTTTTTTCATTTTTTCCTGCGTCAATCACGTGTACGCTGAGGATGCAGTAAAAGGGTTGGCCCACTGGACCGCAACAGCTATACACATATGATGCAGCGGTAGCAGCTTATTTGCATAAACACGTATAGTTAGACCCGCATGCTGTTTTGTATGCCCGCCCACCGAACCAGCCCCTGTGTGGAGTGAGTATGTGGGGTGTCCTTCAGAGCATAGGCTCCTCCCTTTGTATACTCCTCCGCAACGCAGCACCGGGAGTTTATTTCGTTTTGTTACAAAAATTATGCTGTTAAGAAGGTTGTATAGGCGATCATGCCAGCCGCTGTTTTACGTCGCGTTGTGGTGAGGACCATCTTGAATGTTACTGCACGTTGCTCCACGCAGTTTCAAGCAACTGTACATTCGCGACGCTCCCTACACAGAGGATAGAAGACGCAGAGAGGTGAGGAGTTAACAGCCACGACGTGATACCGCACCCCCCTCCGTATAGACCCTCCTGCACCGAACATGAGGCGTTAAGTGCTCCGAGGAAAATGTGTTCGTGTGATCGTAACACTTGTTTGTGATTTTTTTTTTGCCTATTTTTTTTTTTTTTTTTTCATTTTCCTCCGACTGAAGCATTAGCACAATAGGCCCCTTGGAGATAACTCCTCTTGTTGCCGCTCAAGGAAGGAATGTATACCTCCATGTGATTGGTAGCCCGTGTGTCTAATTGGTCCGAGCCCGTTGTTCATTTTGACCGCGTCTTCTTGAGTTACACTACGAAGGGAAAAGCTTGTAAAAAGAAGCTGGTCCTCGTTTTTGTGACCTCTTGGGCGCCCATCCCGTGCTGCTAGCCAAGTAGTCGAGTCCGCAGGTGGCTTCTCACAGGAGCACGCGCAGCAGTGCAGTATGACACGATCGTGCATTACATAACCGCTTACCAGTGTTAACGGTCACCAGTTTTTATCGCGAAAAAGGATGCTGAAGAAGGCTATCGCCGCTTCCGGCGGCCTCGGAATGCTCGGGGCGGGGGCGATGTACATGTTGAAGGTGAACTTTCACAAGAATATGATTGACGACAACGTGGTGTACAAGCAGAGTGCTATGAGCAGCCGCAATGAAATGATAGCACGCCTGAAGAAAAACCAATACGACGTGTTAATAATAGGAGGAGGCGCCACTGGGGCAGGACTAGCTTTAGATTGCGCCACAAGGGGAATCAATTGTGCCCTAATAGAAAAGGGTGACTTTTCAAGTGGGACATCCTCTAAGTCTACAAAGTTGTTACATGGAGGTATACGGTACTTAGAAAATGCAGTGAAGAATTTTGACCTGACTGAATTATATTTTGTGTGGGAAACGTTAGGAGAAAGAGCTCATGCGATGAAGATTGCTCCATTCATGTCTAGGTCAGTACCAATTATTATGCCCATTTATAAATATTGGCAGGTACCCTACTTCGCATACAATATAAAGGTGTATGATTTGCTAGCCGACTTGGTGTGCTACTTCGAGAAGGGTGTTCCTAACTCCAACTACATTAGGCATTTCAACACAATCGATGCTTTCCCTCTTCTGAAGAAGGAAGACCTGAAGGGATCTCTAGTGTATTATGACGGGCAGCATAATGATAGCCGCATGAACCTGAATCTAATTCTAACAAGCACGATGGAAAATTATGTGCCAGGACAAGTGGGAGCCACAGTGTGTAATCATATGGAAGTGGTGGGTTTCATAAGGGATGGTGATGGGAAGAAAATTGTAGGAGTAAGAGCAGTGGACAGAATTACTAATAATGAAATTGAAATTTTTGCTAATGTTATTGTGAATGCTACAGGACCACATGGAGATGTGGTGAGGAAATTAGCAGATGAAGGAGTCACTCCAGTTATTCAAACATCAGCTGGATGCCATTTCATTTTACCCAAATGGTATTCTTCTAAGAATAATGGTATGATCATACCTAAGACAAGTGATGGTAGAGTCCTTTTCTTGTTGCCATGGGAAAATGCTACCATCGTTGGGACCACAGATGAGCAAAGAGAATTGGAAGAATACCCAAGGATTCCTAAAAAAGATACAGACTTTTTGGCTAGCGAATTGTCTAAATATATTAACGTAGATGCAGAGGATATTAAAAATGATATTCAAGCTGGTTGGTGTGGATTCAGACCTTTAGTTATGGAGACGACTAAAGGGGGTGCGGGGGGGGGAAAAAACAAAAAAAAAAATTCCAATAAAAAGGGCAATCTGAAAGGGGATGCAGGCAAGGCGGCTGAAGAAAACATAACGACACACAAAATATCTAGAAGTCATGAAATTATTGAAGACGAAAATGGACTTATTAGCATTTTAGGAGGTAAGTGGACCATATATAGGAAAATGGCCCAGGACACTCTCGACTACATTTTACACAAACACAGCGATAAGGTGAAAAGCAAGTACAACTGCAGGACCAAATTTTTAATGCTTCTTGGTAGTCATGATGAAGAGGGCAAACGTGACCTGGACGACCTAACCTATGGCTGTAGTAAATTGAGTAAAAAGTTAGTACACAAATATAACCAAATAGATTATGACATTGCTCATCACCTCGTGTCCAATTATGGCTATATGGCAGAGAAGGTATGTGAGCTAGCTAAAGAAATGAATCTGTTTAACAAAATTGACGCGTCCAAACCGTATATCGAAGCGGAAGTGATCTATGCCAGTAGGTATGAATTTGCCTCCACCATTTCAGACATTATTGGGAGACGATTCCGACTGGGATTTGTCGACTCCGCTGTGTCTGCCAAAGTCATTTCTAAAGTAGCCGACCTCATGAAGGACGAGTTGAAGTGGAACCGCGATCAAGTGAATAAGAATATTGAGGAGGCCAAGGTGTACGTGCAATCCCTCTCCCTCGACTGAGCTGTGCCAATCGGGGCAGCAGCGAGGCAAATATGCGGCAACAAGGTTACAGCGACGTGGCCCCTTTTGTACACTACACAGTAAGGACTGTTTGGGGAGCGCCCCCGGGTTGACCCCCCAAAAAGGCATCTAAACATTAACACCACTCTCGTCGCTCCTTCACATAAGCGAATTTGCTTCCGACACGCTACTCAGCTACACTTATATTTTTAAAAAAAAACTCAACGACATTTTATGCCCCAGTGGGGTAATGAAAAAAAAAGTTGAAAAAAAAAATAGGCAAAAAAAAGGAAAAGTTAAAAACCTTTTTTTTTTTTTTGCAATCCTCCTCCCCGAATGGATCGATATTTACCACGGGGGCAGAAAGAAAAAAAAAAAAAAAAAAAAAAAAA